ACCGACATGATAGCCTTTACCGTCAAAAACGGGTGGTGTCAGTGTCGTGTATGGTGTTTCTAAATCCATAGAGATTAAAAATGATTTCCCACAGGTCCCTCAAGAAGAGAGTTCCGATACCAATTTGTTGGAGATTTTCTGAGTTAAAGCTACTACTTTTATTGAATTGATGAACACTTTAAATACAGCAAAAAATTCAAACTACATAAAGCATAAAAGTAGGAATACATGGGACACGATTCCATGTTTAACAACTTCCTAAAAATTTGAAACTGACTAAGATGTTTGAAAAGTCAAACATCTTTTAAAAAATAAAACAGAAATTAAATGAAAGAGTAAATTGTTGTAACTGCTACTGCAACTGAAGTATAACTTTAACAGACTAGCTAAGAACTTGTTAATGAAATTATGATTTAAAAAATGAAATATATGAAGAATTTTAATTTATCGAACATTTTTGGATATCTTATTACCAAAAATACAAATAACTTGAGAGGAAGGAGAAAAAGTTTAAGAGAAAGAGTTTAAAGAGGGAGCCACATTTGTCTATAAGTGCAATGTGTAACTGATATGATCACAGTAAACTACTTTGATCTTACTACAATGACAACTTTATCTGACCATGACTCTTGGCTATATGCATAACACAGTTTGTTCTGACACAAGCATTTGCTATTCAATAATTTGATACAAGTATGAAACCAGCTCGGTTTCAAAAGCATAGAATAACTATGTTGAACTATTCATTTTACAGAAGTATAGAATATCAACCGAAAATGTTAAGAAAATTACTTCACTGATGGGAAGAAGAATGATCAGTGTTTTGGAGGCATTTGCAAGGAATTCATGTTGGCTTCCAGCATATCTATTACCTACACTCATGTAGTCCTATCATGTGGAATCGTTTGAACACACCATAATCCCACTATGGTCATTCTCCTCGCTATTTCCTGTTCTTCTGTGGTTATCACCCAATCAGCTCTCAATTCTCTACCCTGCTTTAGCCTGTTGTATGCCCAGTGTGGGAAGTATATCTCACTTCGGTGATTGGCATCTGCATTAATGTTTCTTCTCCCTCCCACCATTTCTAGCAGCATCATTCCATAACTGTAAACATCAGATTTGTGTGAAACTCCACCAAGATGTCTGTTCCACACTTCTGGAGCTTTATACCCTATTGTTCCTCTTTGATCTGACATGAAAATAGTGCTCTCTTTCATGGGACAAAGCTTTGCCAGTCCAAAATCTGATATCTTGGGACAAAAACTTTCATCCAGAAGTATGTTGTGTGGTTTTATGTCAAAATGTAAAATGCGAGTGTTGCATCCCTTGTGCAAGTATTCTAGTCCTTGAGCTATCCCTTTGGCAATTTGCCACAAATTATCCCAACTCAACGATGGAATGGCTTTGACTCCCTTATTGTAAATAAACTTGTCAAGAGAACCATTAGACATATATTCATAAATGAGAGCTTTATTGCTGCCTTCCAAACAGAATCCAAGAAGCTGAACAACATTAACATGAGAAGTTCTACTGATACTGGCAACTTCGTTGATAAAGTCTTCACCATTTCCTTTGGATGCACTCAGTTTTTCTTTATGGCCACAGGAACAACCATTGAGTATCTCCCTTGTATACGGCAACCAAAACTACCTTCACCTAGTTGTACTTTTGAAGGATGTTGGTCATTTTCTTCACTTCTGAAAATTTGTACTTTAGAGTTTTGAGCTCCATGATTTTTAAGGAATGCTTCAATATCTCTATTACTTTTGAAGGCAACCCAAAAATGTCCTTGCAAGAGTGGTGACTTGTATCTGGACAGAAATTGCTATACATATCATCACAGTTGCAATTGCTCTACAAGACCTGTACACCTGTTAGCAGAATACAGTATAGTAGGAACAACACTGTAACATTTGCTATGCTAGGATTGTTGTCAATTGATTGTAAACTACAAAATTCTGATTGAGAACTTAGCAAAATTTTTTGTTTTCCAATAAATTTAAACTAATAATGTGTCTGTATAGCAATTTTAATAATTAGTAATTATGAATCAACATTAGTGTTAGAGTGTAACTCCGAGTACTGCAGAATGAGCAGCAAGAATCCTTCAACCTCAAAACGATCAGATCCTAAGATACTTTCGTCATAGTATTAAAAGAACCAGTAGAAATAGAAAAGAATTTATTACCTATAATAATGAATTTCCATCTGTTTGTTCCCTTTTTTTTTTTTCCTTCACAACTGCGATACCTATTGAGAACAAAGAGTAATTACGTTAACTCCAATCATGTTATTCAGTTTAAATATACTTCCAAATCTCACATTCACAACACATTAACACCATTTCATAGAACAAATATGATAATATCAAGGTTATGAAGTTTTCTGGAAATGCTACTAAATATGATAACACCATTTCACAACACATTAACACCATTTTTAACCAGCTGCATGAATCTATATCACAAACAGTACGAATCCAGACTTAGAATATCATGAATAGCTGGAATGAAATTCAGGGAACGTGTTAATTTGCCTAATGACATACTTGTAGGGACCATTAGAGACTCGAAAGCAGAAAGACTTGGAAAAATATGCAGTCAACAACCCTATCTTTTCTCAAAGTCATGTAAACGTAGTCACCCAAAGAGATTTTTGTTGAGTAAATGTGTAGAAATATAAAATTGTTAATAATTATTTTTATTATGGTCATTGTATTAGTTTTGCTACAGTGAGAAGTTGTTGATTTATATTTCAAGCATTTTTAAAATAAATATTTATCCCCGTTATGTTTTTAGTAAACATTATTATACTCTATGTTTTTAAAATACATATTCATTACACTCTTCTTTGTAATACGTTTTTTCTGTAAAACAACAATTATTTTCGTTATTTTATTTTCGTTGTGCGAGATTACTTAAAAAAAGTGAGGAAACGGTTGTTATATAAATTCATGTTTATTTTTTATTTTATTTAATGTGAGACTTTGTTTTTAGTGAAATTATTTAGACATTTCAGGTTTATACAAAAATACATCATCTAAATTTTGAACAACATTATAAATAAATAATTTTCAATTATTTAATCCATATACATCATCTAAATTTTTAACTTTCATAATCTGAAATATTTAAGAACATTAAAAATAAATAATTTTCAATCGATTAATCCATAATATTACATCCAAACTTTTTTACTTCTCGGTTTTACAATTTGTGAATTTTTTTATCTCTCAGTGTGTAATTTTCCGACCAAAAGGTGCTGGAAGAAACTGTGAAGATATAAAAGGAAAGAAATTAGATTGCAACTTGAGAATTTTAGCCACGAATACGGATATCTGCGGATAAAATTTGCGACGGATAGTTACTATCCGCGGATATTTACTATCCATGGATAACGGGTAGCGGATATTTTAATACTCGTTTCTAAACGAATTGGATACAAGTAGTACATTACCCGTCACGCGGGGTATACGTTATTTGCAAAAGATTAAAAAAAATTAATAATTTATATATTTTTTAATTAGATTTAATTAAAAAATAATATAAAATAATATTTTATTAGGTCAAATTTAATTAAAATTTAATTTATATTTACCTTAATTTATATTATATGATATATATATTTTGTAATTTTATTTAAATTTTATTTTAAAAATATATTAAATATTTACTTTTTTGAGTATTCGCGAATACTGTAGATATTTTTTAAACGGATATCCGTGTGAATAATGGATCGAGTAGCGTGTATAGTTTTATCCGGCAGGTCGAATTGCAGGTAGACACTATCCGTGCTCAACCCTGCTCTTGCCATTCCTAATTGCAACGTATTAATAAAATCATAGTGGCTTTTTCTTATTGTGTTCCAATGATTTCTAATAGTATCTTTATAATTTTTAAAATATTCGTAAAAATAACTTCCAAATTACGGGTTTTGGAAATTTTCCAGAATAAACTTTTTTAAATTATTATAATATGATTCTTGGAACAGAATTTCTCGAGAAGAATTTTCAGAACAGAAATTCCATAATATATGAAATACTTAGTTTTTTAAAATGATTTTTTTTTTCCGAACGAGTTCTTTCTCTTAATGGGGAATGAAGATGCAGTAGTGTGGTACAAGAAAGGGATATCTGTTAATGCTTTTGTGGTATGAGAGGTGGTGCAGGAAGAAAAAACAGTTTTTGAACCATTAAAATTGTTGGACGCACTAATGAATATTTGGTTTCTATGGGGCCTTTTCTTCCACACCGTCTTGTTTCTTTCTAAACCCCATAAAACATGTAATTCTGAAACTACCCTTCATTAAAATTATACTAAAAATTACTATATCTGTTTTTTTTATTGGATATTTTCTGGATTCAAAAATATTTTCCAAAACACTAAATTTCAGACTATATTTCTGAATTAGGAAATATATTATGAAATATCCAATTTGAAATATAAAATACTTTTTGATTAAATATTTTGAAAAATATTTCGATTTCAAAATTGGAACATTCAATCCAAAATATAAAAGTATTTTTCGAATTAAGTGCTCCATAAGATATTTTTGGATTCATAAATACGTTACGAAACCTCAAATCTGAAATATAAAAATATTTTTCAGAATTAATGTTTCAAAAGAATATTTCTAGATTCAAAAATACATTACAAAAATCTAATCTAAAATATGAAAATATTTAAACTGAAGTCCTAGAAGATATTTCCTATCTGGAAATGCATTTTGAAAAATCAAATTTAGAATATAAAAATATTTTTTGAATTAAGCGTTTTGGAAAGTACTTCGAATTTGGAATGCATTACGAAACATTCACTTCATAATATACAAAATATTTTCTATATTGAATGTTTTGAAAGGTATTTGTAGATCTAAAAATACTAGAGAACATCAAATTCAGAATAAAAAAATACTTTATGGGTTGAATATTTAGAAACATATTTCGACATATAAAAATATTTTATAGAAATGTTTGAAATGTATTTTCATATTCAAAAATATATTCCAAAACACTTAATTCTAAAAGTATTTTTATATTCTAAATTGAATTTTCAAAAATCTATTTTCAGATATGGAAATATCTTTCAGAATACTCAATTTGAAATACATTTAAAAAAAATACTTTTATAATTAGTTAAGCTAGAGTTTTGTTTGCTATAATGAAAGTGATGTGTTGGGATTTTGTTGTATATTGTACCTCCCTTTTCATGTGTATGGTGGGAAATGCAAATATATGATTTTTCTAATACAATGATACAGAGAAGATGAAGCTTATGCATGGCAGTTGCTTGTGTTGGATGGTAGAGATCAAAAGGGGAAATGGAAATGAGGAAAATGATTCAGGGATGTCAAACTGTGCATTTTACCATGAAAAACCCTTTTTGTGTTGACAAATTTTTTTTTATAAATTACTAACAAATATTTGATTATGTAATTAAAATTCTAATTTATTAATAAATTTTATCGATAAATCCATTATTAGTGGATATTTTTAGAAGTTATTAAAATTCTAAAATTCGATGATAAAATTTGTGAATAAATTTAATTTTACTTTTGTAGTTTCCAACAATAAAATTTCATTGATAATTATAAATTCTTTTATATATATATATATAATATTAAATTATATTATATATATATATATATATATATATA